GATTGAGCCTTCTATTCCCATAGCACTCAGTAGTAATGATTTTATGTGCTTTTTTAACGATAACATTGTTACTCTTAGAAACTAAATGAATGACCTCTTGCCTTTGACCAGTATAGTGTTATCAACAGCTCCCGGAAACGTAAGTTCTAATATTACACTAGATAGTAAACTAGAATGCTTTTCAGCCATAAACCTTGAACAATTAAATTCAATGATTCTCTCTTCTAAACCATCAACGTGTATGTTAGACCCAATTCCAACTAAGCTGTTGAAGGAAGTTTTTCCATTAATTAGCACTTATTTATTAAATATTATGAATATGTCTTTATTATCAGGCTATGTTCCACAATCATTCAAAGTAGCAGTGATAAAACCGCTTCTTCAAAAGCACAACCTCGATCCAGAGGTTTTAGTCAATTATAGACCTATTTCTAATCTTCCGTTCCTCTCAAAAATTCTTGAGAAAGCGGTCGCAAAACAGCTGATTACTTAAAAAACAATGATTTATTTGAAGATGTTCAGTCTGGCTTTAGAACACATCATAGCACAGAGACAGCTCTGGTTAAAGTCACAAATGACATTCTAATAGCCTCTGACAAGGGACGTGTCTCTATTCTTGTTTTGCTCGATCTCAGTGATGCATTTAATACTATCGATCATGATATCTTATTGCAAAGACTAGAGCACTTAGTTGGCATACAGCGAACTGCTTTAGGCTGGTTTAGGTCCTATCTATCTGAACGTTCTCAGTTTGTACGTGTTAACGATGAATCTTCCACGCAAACCAAAGTTAGCCATGGAGTGCCACAGGGCTCAGTGCTCGGACCTATTTTGTTCACATTATATATGCTTCCGTTAGGCAATATTATAAGGAATCATTCTGTACATTTTCATTGTTATGCGGATGATACTCAACTATATTTATCAATCAAGCCTGATGAAATTAATCATCTAAATAAAATTCAAGACTGCCTTAAGGACTTAAAAACGTGGATGACCTTAAACTTTTTGATGTTAAACACGACCAAAACTGAAGTTATTGTACTTGGCCCGAAGAATCTACGAAACAAACTATCTAAAGATATACTAACTATGGATGGCATTAATTTGGCCTCCAGTGAGACTGTAAGGAATCTTGGTGTTATATTTGATCAGGATTTATCCTTTAACGCCCACATAAAATCAATTTCAAGGACCGCCTACTTCCATCTACGTAACATTGCAAAAATCAGGCATATCTTGCCTCAAAACGATGCAGAGAAACTAGTCCATGCATTTGTTACTTCAAGGCTGGATTATTGTAACTCTTTATTATCAGGGTGTACCAAGAAGTCAGTCAAGTGGCTTCAGCTGATTCAAAATGCTGCAGCTCGTGTACTAACCAGAGTTAGGAAAAGGGACCACATTACTCCTGTTCTGGCTGCCTTACACTGGCTCCCTATAGAACACAGGATAGAATTTAAAATTCTTCTGAGCATGGGCGGCGCCAGGATTTGTTAGCTGCAGTAGTTTAGCAGTTGCTATATGACAGCACAGCATTGCTAGTTAATTTTCAAAATAAATAAACAAACAATACCAGTGGGCCAAGCACGAGCCTGTTCATATTGTAGCGTTCACCGCTATTCAAGATCACAGATCACACGAGCCTTCAATGTCCAAAACGTTCTCTTTATTTTCTGGTATTGATGGCCACAGCCACGCCTTACAGAACCAATCAATATATAACACTCATTATGACTTTCCCCCACACTCGAACACAACTCCTACCGTCTCGTACTCCACACACACACACACACACACACACACACACACACACACACACACACACACACACACACAAGGGGCGGTCTCTCCCTAACTCCCACCAACAACATTGCCTAAATAACTTTACAAATGTACTAAACTGTGCACATCTGATAACTGACATAACTATTAACTTGGTCACGCTACAATATAATACTAATTAAAACATTCCTTTGACACTTATAACATTACTTTGCAAGGTAAGCACAACCAACATAAGTTTGTAAAAGCAGAATTTGAACACTGTTTCTGTGCTCCTACAATATTTGTGTATAATACCATTACACCCTACAAGTACACAATAGCGATCGTTCACTGTTCCAACTGGCATGCTCACACACACACACACACACACACACACACACACACACACACACACACACACACACACACACACACACACACACACACACACACACACACACACACACACACACACACACACACACACACACACACACACACACACACAGCAGAGCCACTCACCAATGGGTCACATCTGTCAGAGCAGGACAATGCATCTGTTATTGTGGTTCAAAGCAAAAGCGTCTATGATCTCCTGCTCATCAAGGGCTCGTGCACGTTCTGCGTTGATGGACAGCAAAGCCACATTGATATTCCTTAAGTCCCCTCTGTTGCTCCTCATGTAGTTTTTGACACGCCGTAAACCAGAAAAGCTGCGTTCGCAGGTTGCAGGCGTGACAGGCAGTGTGACCGATATACACACAAGTCTGTGCAAATCAATAAATGCGTCCTTGTATGGCCGGAGAAGCGAGAGAAATTCGTGCGTGGTTTTCACAGTGTGTCCCTGCTGCTGCTTTGTTCGGTCAAGGAGCCGTCGAACTTGGTGCAGTTCTGCAGACAGGTTGTCCGTGTTTACCCCATAATACTGGGCCATGGGTGACAGGTGTTCCATCTCAAGGAATGACTCATGTGCTGGGTTTAAGGCAGACGCGCCCTGTAGAACTCCACAAGATTCAGACGAAAACCGCCTTTTCATTTCATTGACGAGTCTATCAATGACAGGGTAGTAGCAGTGCTTTCGGATGTCATCAGAGGAGGTGAGTGGTGGACGTGTTGCTGCTGGAGCATCAACTACAAACCCCTGTAGGTGGCTTGCAGGCTGAGGCTGACGTCGCTCTTGTCTCAACTGGAGGAGGAGGATGCCAGTCTTGATGGAGAGGGCTTGTGCTTTGTCCAAAATTTCATTCCATGATTTTTCGTTTCGCTTTTCGGAGAGGGATGTAATTACCGACTCAACGAGATCCGTAGCAGATGCCAGTTGCAGATCTGGGGACTGTATATAGTCGGACAATAATTTGGTGGCCCGAAACATATCCTCAAATAGAGTGAGTTGCACAGCAAAGTGAGCGTCGATCAGTGCCTTCACAGCTCGAGCTTCTGTCTTCCTGCGAGCGCGTGACTGCGTGATGACCTCATCGAGCGTGGCATAGATTGCTGGCAGTGTTTTCTGAATGGCCCACAGTGCTGAATACTGACAAGCCCATCTAGTGTCTGGCAGCTTTTTTAGTTCAACCGGCTTTTCTGTTGGTTCAAGTTCCTTTTGTTTTTTATGGAAAATGTTGTGCACGACAGAGCCAGAAAATAAATGATACAGCATCTGCACAACTTCAAAAAAATCCCCTGCTGGTCTTACATTCTTGACGCAGTCAACTAAAACTAAATGTAGCCGGTGGGCATGGCAATGTACATAAAGGGCCTGTGGCACCTCCTTCCGAAGCCTCTCCTGCACACCGTCAGTGCACCCCGACATCACAGCGGCACCGTCGTAGCATTGGCCAATGCACATGTTGTGATCAATGTTGCATTTACTGAGCGTCTGTTTGATCGTAGTAAAAAGTGAATCGGCGTCCAGTCCATCAGCTGGGGTGAAGTGAAGGAACTCCTCCTGGATGCCATCGTTATGTATGTAGCGCACTGCCACAGACACCTGCTCCTTTTGACTCACGTCTGTGCTCTCATCCACCATCAGTGCAAACGCTCCAGCTTCCTGTACTTCCCCACTCATTTGATCCCTGGCCATATTTGCCATCAGCTCAATGAGCTCATCTTGTATGTCGTGGTGTGAGTACTTTGCATTTCTCGGATTATCGGATATTGTTTTTGCCACAGTTTTGTCAAACTTGCCAATCAGGTCTAACAGTTCGATGAAGTTCCCCCTGTGTGATGCTTCACCCTCCCTGTGCCCTCGTTGTGTAATGGTTTGACACGCAATGTAACGCAAAGCTTCCACAGCTGCCCGCATATATTCCCTGTTGTCACGCACACTTTGTGAATGTCCCTCGCTGAGTGCGGTGCTGATTTTTGAGCCACTCTCTTTCCTTAATTTAAATTCAGACCATGCATCCATGGCGTATTTATGTCCTCCACTCACATCATGTGTAAGGAATGACTGCTTAGCTTTAACCCAGGTGCTAAATCCGTCATGGGTAAAGGCGGTTTCTTTATGGAACCGGCGTCCTTCATGAGCAAAATGCCTGCAGGCAAAACAAAATAAACTGTCCATAGTCACTGAGTACTCGAGCCAAGTATATTGCTCGTACCATCGACTATTAAATGACCGCATTTGCAGTCCGTACTTCTTGGTCGGGTATTTTCTCAGCATAGGACGTCTTGGTCCATCACAGGCTGACTGGCTGATGTCAATGACGGTGTGGAGGGGAGCAGCGCTCGTTCCACTGCAGCTCGCGGTAGCAGCTAGCTGGTCCTGCTGCTGCGGGTGCAGCGGGTCAGTTGGCGGGGGCACCTGTTCTTCGTGGTCCCAATCCTCCCGGTTTTCATAGTGGACATCGGGATCCTTGTGGATAGCAGGGTTGTCCGGCTGGACCGGCTCCGTTGGAGATCGCGGTCGTTTACGCTGACTTGTGAGAAATCTTTCCATTTTCGATCTGTGTTCACATCATGGTTCACACACTGAGAATTAGAACAACATTAGCCAAGTAACAGTTCGCGCTTTAACGTACAACGACCCCTGATAGATCTCGCGAGAATGTGTATAAATATAGATACATTTTCATAACAGAACAATGGGGTTGCTAAGCCGTTGCTAGGCCAATTTTTGGAGTTGCTATAGCAACCCCCAGGCGCCGCCCCTGCTCCCTCCATCTGACAGGAGGGAGCCTGGTTGAGCTGAGACTCCACGGAGGGGGAGTGTGTAGGGGTAGGGTGTAGGGCGTGGTTTGGGATTGGGCCTACATGTCAGCGCGCTCCTCTCACTCCTGTAGCTCTTCCCATTGGTCCGTTACGCTAAACGGAACCCGGAAGTGCTTTGTTTTGATCATGCAGCTGAAATGACTGAAAGTGGAGCTCAGGTAAAAAACAACACGTGTTTCTAACAACAACATGTGATTAATAAACGCATATTAAGTAACATATCTGCGTTTTAGCGGCAGCGTTACGCGATGACTTCACTTTGCAGGAAGTACACGTGTATCTGTTAAAGTGAAATACAGTTAAAGTGCTTTAGTTTGATAATGCACATCATGCTAATCCTTACATTTATACAATCCAGACTTTATTAAAGCATCTTTGTCCCGGTCAGATCTGACCAAGAAAGGCACAACATTAAAGCAAATAGAAAAGTAAATAACAACATATTTTACCATCGTTTTAACCCTTTAAAGAAGAATCTCTGGATGAATCCATGATGATCAGAATGATCTGCTTTCTGGTTCTGACTGTCTGTATCCAGGGTTAGGGTTAGCTACATGCTACACTAAGGTCTGTTGGTTAGGGTTAGCTACATGCTACACTAAGGTCTGTTGGTTAGGGTTAGCTACATGCTACACTAAGGTCTGTTGGTTAGCTACATGCTACACTAAGGTCTGTTGGTTAGCTACATGCTACACTAAGGTCTGTTGGTTAGCTACATGCTACACTAAGGTCTGTTGGTTAGCTACATGCTACACTAAGGTCTGTTGGTTAGCTACATGCTACACTAAGGTCTGCTGGTTAGCTACATGCTACACTAAGGTCTGTTGGTTAGCTACATGCTACACTAAGGTCTGTTGGTTAGCTACATGCTACACTAAGGTCTGTTGGTTAGCTACATGCTACACTAAGGTCTGTTGGTTAGCTACATGCTACACTAAGGTCTGTTGGTTAGCTACATGCTACACTAAGGTCTGCTGGTTAGCTACATGCTACACTAAGGTCTGTTGGTTAGCTACATGCTACACTAAGGTCTGTTGGTTAGCTACATGCTACACTAAGGTCTGCTGGTTAGCTACATGCTACACCAAGGTCTGCTGGTTAGCTACATGCTACACTAAGGTCTGCTGATTAGCTACATGCTACACTAAGGTCTGTTGGTTAGGGTTAGCTACATGCTACACTAAGGTCTGTTGGTTAGCTACATGCTACACTAAGGTCTGTTGGTTAGGGTTAGCTACATGCTACACTAAGGTCTGCTGGTTAGCTACATGCTACACTAAGGTCTGTTGGTTAGCTACATGCTACACTAAGGTCTGTTGGTTAGCTACATGCTACACTAAGGTCTGTTGGTTAGCTACATGCTACACTAAGGTCTGTTGGTTAGCTGCATGCTACACTAAGGTCTGTTGGCTTCTTCATTCATATGTGGCTCTTCACTTTTGCTCTAACACTGTAAATGTCTCTCTATGGGACAAATAGAGGGATTCTGATTCTGAAAACACAGATTGTATATATTCAATAATTCACATTGAAAATAGAGAAGAAGCAGGTAGAGAAGGAGCAGGTAGAGAAGGAGCAGGTAGGGAAGGAGCAGGTAGAGAAGGAGCAGGTAGTATATAATCAGTGTGGGATGTGTCTGCAGCTGTTCGCCCGTCTGGAGGCTCGTCGCTGTCTGAAGGACATCGAGAACAAACTGTTTCCTGGAGACGGAGGACCTGAACCCGGTGAGAAAAACCACTTCCTGTTGATCATATAATCATTTAACACATACAGTCTGAGCCTCAGGAAATGAGCTATGACCTGGCATCATTCATCTCTTCTCTGAGAGTCATGTATTTGTATGCATGGTCCTTGTTGAAATAAACACATAATACTTATCCTCTGATTGTTCTCTGTCAAAGTGAATTGCTAGTCTTGTGAGTGACAGAGACATTAAGGGTTTACCTGTCAGGAGGTTTGATGATGGGAAGGAGGAGCAGCTGTTCCTCTCATGAACACACAGAGACTGAAAGCAGAGCTTCTCTCTCCTGAGGAGGAAGCTGCTCTGCTCCTGAACTTCAGATCCATCTCACTTTATACTGACTTTCTTTATTACTTTATTAAATCGAACAAAAGACAAACTTTGTCCATGAATCCTCTCTCAGTGTCTCTGAAGAGTTTCCTCCACAGAGACGTCACATGACAATTAACCAAAACTCAAAATGATAAACTGGAGGCGGATGATTGATGATTGACTGTGATTGACAGGTGAGGTGGTGGAGCTGTACGGACCAGAGGGGACAGGTGAGGTCATACTCTAACAGGCTCACACGCACACACTCTGATTGATGGCAGGTCTGACTTATTGAGTGAGAGAGAAACCTTTGACTCTTATGGCGTCCCCTGCAGGGCCTCGCACGGCTTAGTACGGTATGGTTAGGCCTTGGTAGGCCAGGCTCACTTTATGCTGTGTCTCCACTCCATTACAGTTTAGTAGCTGGGGCAGTAACTATGGTAACGCAGTGTAGGCGGAGCGATCGGCGGGCGGAGCGACACTGCATAAAACTGCCGTGACGTCATCTTCAATGCGAACCACAAAGCCAACACAGCCGTTAGCTGTTAGCCCTCAGAGCTCACAGCTCCTCAGATCTGTTCAGAAACTAGACAGAAGTGAAACAAGTACAAACCACAGACTGCCTGTGTCATGGAGAATACAGTCGCTGCTTTATTTATGTCTGTAGGCCGTTGTTGTGAGTGTGGACGGTCGGAGCATATATAACGTTAGCTTAGCCGGTCTCCATTTAGAAAACACGCATTTTAAAAGGTGTTTCTCTGCCGTCTGTCTGCAGACTTGTCAAAGCATTAATTCATGGTTTGTACTAACCGGTATCAGTATGTTGTTACTTCGGCATCATTTTGAAACGTGTATTACAATTAAATCACGGTCAAATATGTTCATCTTGTTGTAGTTGTAGCCCCCTTGCCAGCGATTCTCTCGGACCAATCAGCAGTTGAGTGTTTACGTCACTAGTTTAGCGTATTCAGCCCGTTGTTGGAGGGCCAGAAAAAAGGTGGAAAAGTCGCCCTGAGCCGGAACTCGCCCAAGTGTCAAAGCAACAAAAAGCGGTGCTGCGTGCTGCAGTGGAAAAGCGCCATTATATCTCCACAAAAAGAAACAGGAAGTGTGAGCTGGCGTCATCCGGGTTCAATAGAATATATAGAGAGTATAAACACGAGGGTTCTGTTGGGAAATCCTGAATGTCCTCTTCCAATATCAGAGTAACATCATCACAAAGTCCCAACTGTAGCTGTGTACATGGCAATAAGTCTCAATTTGGAGATTTGGAGAAAAAGTCTGAATTTTGAGAAAAAGTTGTCAAATTTTGAGAAAAAGTCAAAAATGTTAGATTTTGAGGGAAAAAAACTATATTTTAACCATTTTAGAAAAAGTCAACATTTTGAGATTTTCAGAAAAAAACAATATATATAGAAAAAGTAATTAAAAAAAGAAAAAAGTCAACATTTTGAGAAAATGTCAGAATTTTGAGATTTTCAAAAAAAGCCAACATTTCGAAAAAGTCAAAAACAATATTTTGACCTTTTTAGAAAAAGTCAACATTTTGAGATTTTGAGAAAAAAGCCAACATTTCTAAATGTTGAGCAAAAGTCTGAATTTTGAGAAAAAGTCTCATTTTGAGATTTAAAAAAAAAAAAACATTATTTGAGAAAAAGTCGTCACATTTTTAGAAAAAGTCAACAGTTTGAGATTTTCAGAAAAAAAACAACATTTGAGAAAAAGCCAACATTTCAAAATGTTGAGAAATGAAGAAAAAAACAACAAAAAAAACAAACATGTTCTTAGCAGTTTGTTTATAACTGTTCATTTGTTTATTTGTATGTATTTTTGTATAGATGTTACAACTTGCTTTGGCAATACTGTATGTAAATATGGTCATGCTAATAAAGCTTTTGAATTGAGAAAAAGTCTGAATTTTGAGAAAACGTCAGAATGAGTGACGAGTGAGATTTTTCTAACAGAAATGAATGCACTTGATTTGATGAGAGTTTCCTCCCCCCTGCAGGTAAGACGGAGCTCCTGTACCACCTTCTGAGTCGCTGTCTGCTGCCTCTGAGCGCCGGAGGGCTGGAGGTGGACGTTGTGTTCATGGACACCGATTATAGTCTGGACATGTTAAGACTGGTCAGCATCCTGGACAGCAGGCTGAACGCAGGTACGCACCAACAAAGAAGAAGCATTCAAGTGTCAGGTAGTCACAGGTGTGCTTTTAATAAAAAACAATGTACTGTTTTCTGTCTGCAGCTGGGTTTACCACATTTTCTTGGAACTTTTTGGACGTTTGTTGACATTTTAACGCAGGATTTGAGCCTTTGCAGACCATTTATATGCACTAAACCGCTCTCCTCTCTGCAGCTCGCTCCTCTTCCTCCTCTGGTTCTGATGAAGAGCTGTTGGGTTCCTGTCTCTCTCGCCTCCTCGTCGTCCATTGCTCCTCTTCCTCCCAGCTGCTCCTCACGCTCCACTTCCTGGAGACGACCTTGACCTCTCGACCCCGCGTCGCCCTGCTGCTCATCGACAGCATCTCCGCTTTCTATTGGCCGGACCGCTGCGAGGGCGGGACCAGCGTCACCAAGCAGGAAGAGAAACTCAGCAAGTGTGCCGAGCTGCTGGGACGACTGCTCAGGTTCTTCTTTTAGAGGTTCTAAAGGGCTTTTAGGAGGTTCTAGTGCTTATTTAGAAGGTTCTAGATGGCTTTAATGAGGTTCTAGAGGTCTTTAATGAGGTTCTAGAGGTCTTTTTGGCAGGACTATAGGGCTTTTAGGAGGTTCTAGTGTTCATTTAGGATGTTTTTAAAGGGCTTTTAGGATGTAATTTAGGTGGTTCTAGATGTCCTAAAGTGGTTCTTGTAGTCCGTTGGTGGTTAAAGGGTCCTTTTAGGTGGTTCCAGAGGTTCTAGAGAAGTTTTAGGTGGTTCTATTGGCCTACTATTCTCTAACACTGTATGTTGGGTTCACTGTAAAATGTTGGACATCTCGTCTGTGGTTCTTCCTCTCAGGGATTACCGGATCACCGTCTTCGCCACCTGCCACGCCATCAGGAGGAACTACAGTGGACCTTCCTCTTTTTCCTCCTCCTCTTCCTCTTCCTCCTCGGACATCGACAGACCGTACCTCTGCCGCCCCTGGCAGCGTCTCGTAACCCACCGGCTGCTCTGCTCCAGGCAGGAAACTACAAACATGGCCGCCAACAACAACAGCGAACCAAAAAGACTTCAGATGTTCACGGTTCACTGCACCTCCTCTTCCTCCTCCTCCTCTTCCTCTTCTTCTAAAACCAAGTCGTACAGGAGCAGCTCCTTCTGCATAACAGACGCCGGGGTGGAGTTTATCTGAACGTATCGTGATCTGCAGGAGAACCCGTTTCTGTGTTTGTGTATATTTGAGTTATTGTTTACATGCATTTGTCAATAAAGCTGTAATACCGCTGTGATCCAGCAGGTTAAGTATATTTTACTCGTTTTATAATGACTATAGTTAATTATTAATGCTGTTGTGTGCATTACTGTTATAATTAAATAGCTATATATTATATGTAGAATTTATCTTATTATTGTTTATATAATGAATTAATTAATAAAGGCTGTATGTTTGGGGCACGTGCAGCGTGAGTCCGGTTCCTCGCGCTCCACTCCGGGACTTCCGGTCTGATGACAGAAACCGCATCCCCAGAGCAGTCCCTCCTGCAGATCCCTCCGCGGGGTCAGACACTTTTTACCTCACGAACAGAAAACCCCGCTCGCTGATCAATCATTATAAAACATATCATATATATTTTTCTGAAACGGACCAATCAGAGTATTCCTACACTGGTACTTCTACTTTTACTCAAGTACGAGATCTGAGTACTTTTACTCAAGTATGAGATCAGAGTAGGCCTACAAGTACAAGATCTGAGTACTTCTACTTTTACTCAAGATCTGAGTACTTCTACTTTACCAGTGTGTAGGAATACAGAGTGTTTATTATTAAATATAATAAAATAGTGGCAATACATATTTTTATGGCAGTTTTTTTTGCATGAAACAACTGTGAGACACAAGGATTAAATATCTAAAGATGAATTTAACTTCGCATTTCTTTATTTCTTACAGTTTTATAGTTATATTTACAGTTACACAGTTATATTTATTCCCCACAGTGAGTAGTATTCGGGTTTCTTCGGCCCTACTTCTTCTCCTGCTGCTTGCTGACAGGAGGCGGTGCTTCGGTCGCTCCCAAACATGGCCTCCATGACGGAGCGACCGCTTCAACTTTAATTTTTTTCGCCAGTTGTTCAGCTCTAAACCTGCTTTTTCGCCTCCACTTCTTCCCGGGACATGTTTGTTGTGATCGTGTCGATATGGCAGACTCGTGACCCGAGGTTTTCTCCCGGGAAGAGAGTTTAAACTGATCGGTTTTAAGTTGAAGCTGCAAAGCTGGAGAGGAAAAAGAGAATTGCATCAAATCAGTAAGAAGGCTTTTCCTCTCTCTATCTCCACTCGTGTGCAGCTTTTAATCCCCGCTTGTGTTTCTGTATCAACTTATACTTGCAATGTTTACATAAAGCGACGAATAAAGGCGCGTTGGAGCTGCTTTCTGATAGCATTTAGCATGCTAGCTGATGCTACAAGCTAACAGAGAAGTGATCAGCAAACTGGGCGATGCGAAGGTAGCTTACATGCTAGCTGATGCTAACGCTAAGATAGACAGAGGAAGCTAACGGCTAACTGCTAACTGCTCGGTTTCTACTATACAGATAAGACAGTATTTACTTTATTGATCCGTTTTGGGACATTTTCTGCAGGTAAACTAAGCATTGAGTATAATGTGAACATGTACACAAGTAGACGTGAACATAAAACACAAACATCTGAATAGGGTCAATAAACATAAACACAGTTAGAGAGGAGACGCTGTGAGATAAGTACCAAACAATTACAAAACTATATGTTAAGAAAGATGTTATAACATTCAGATATAGTTAGTTAATTATATGAAATATAGATGTACCTAATAAACACGTACAGTATACTATATTTGTGTTTTCGTCACAGCAGCATGTAAACAAAGCATCGCATATGATGTGAACATGGAAATACATGGATTTAAACATTAAATATATCTCAAAATAGGAAATAAAAAAGGACTTTAAAGTAAAATATATACATACTGACAGTGGAAGATGTATATCTGTGAAATAAACCCTATGAAGGGCCAAATTATAGCTTTCAACATAGATATATTAACATGGACGATGCGATACATACATTCAATATCAATAATGCAATATATACAGATGGAGTCATTATGATTTTTGTCCAGTTAGCACTTTCATATTCATCCAAATTGTTCCTACTTCATGTCATTTCAAACTTTATTGGTTAGTTTACACAGACAGGGAATCAGCTTGGTGTATTTGATACAATACTACAAAAATACTCTGTTAGTATAAAGTATTCATTCAGTAGTAGTAGTAGTAGCAGGAATAGCTCTAATAGTAGTTGTAGTAGCTCTAGTAGTAGTAATATTAGTGATACTAGTATTAGTAGTGATATTATTGATATTAGTAGTAGTATTAGTCTTATTATTAGTAGTAATATTAGTGATAGTAGTAGTAGTGTACAAATGTGCAAAATATTCGGAGGGCCGTGCAGGACTGGCTTATTTAGTAGTAATAGTAGTAGCTCTAGTAGTAGTAGTATTATTGTTGGTAGTAGTAGTAGTAGAAGCTATTATAGTACTTGTATTATCCTACACAGATATATATATATATATATATATATATACACGTGCACAAGATATATACAAATATCATATGTATGTGTAGTACTATAATATTCTTAATTAAAGTCATCTGCAGATATTAAGAGAGGTAACTTGTCTACAAATTATTTAGAGGGTCGTGCAGGACCGGCTTACTCACTACTTAAATGAAACAAATGACAGATATGTCTCTTCCCCTGAATCACCCCTGACCTCTCTGTCTTGTGTTTTTTACCCAGAATGCCGTCTGAGGCTTCTCCCCAGGAGCCTCGGGACCGCGGCCCGTTGCCCCCTGTCACACGGGCCGGACGCAGCGCTCAGCTGGCCAAAGAAGCGGCCACAAGCCCCGCCTTCGAGAGGCGCTCCAGGGGCCGACCTCGCAAAGATGGCCCCCCGACACCCCCACCTCCAACACCTACACCTCCCAAAGCCAGGAAGTAAGTCTGCTCCTATTGGCTAGCGCTCCAACATATTGTACTACATACTGATATACACCTGAACATCAGCAGGAGAGGACTCTTTAAAGTAGAGACACTACATACTGATATACACCTGAACATCAGCAGGAGAAGACTCTTTAAAGTAGAGACACTACATACTGATATACACCTGAACATCAGCAGGAGAGGACTCTTTAAAGTAGAGACCACTACATACTGATATACACCTGAACATCAGCAGGAGAGGACTCGTTAAAGTAGAGACACTACATACTGATATACACCTGAACATCAGCAGGAGAGGACTCTTTAAAGTAGAGACACTACATACTGATATACACCTGAACATCAGCAGGAGAGGACTCTTTAAGTAGAGACACTACATACTGATATACACCTGAACATCAGCAGGAGAAGGACTCTTTAAAGTAGAGACACTACTACTGATATACACACCCTGAACATCAGCAGGAGAGGGACTCTTTAAAGTAGAGACACTACATACTGATATACCCTGAACATCAGCAGGAGAGGACTCTTTAAAGTAGAGACACTACATACTGATATACACCTGACATCAGCAGGAAGAGGACTCTTAAAGTAGAAGACACTAACTATACTGATATACACCTGACATCATGCAGGAAGAGGACTCTTTAAAGTAGAGACACTACATACTGATATCACACCTGAACATCAGCAGGAGAGGACTCTTTAAAGTAGAACAACTACATACTGATATACACCTGAAGACATCAGCAGGAGAGGACTCTTTAAAGTAGAGACCTACTTACTGATATACACCTGAACATCAGCAGGAGAGGACTCTTTAAAGTAGAGACAACTACATACTGATATACACCTGAACATCAGCAGGAGAGGACTCTTTAAAGTAGAGACACTACATACTGATATACAACCTGAACATCAGCAGGAGAGGACTCTTTAAAGTAGAGACATACATACTGATATACACCTGAACATCAGCAGGAGAGGACTCTTTAAAGTAGAGACACTACATAACTGATATACACCTGAACATCAGCAGGAGAGGACTCTTTAAAGTAGAGACACTACATACTGATATACACCTGAACATCAGCGGGAGAAGGACTCTTTAAAGTAGAGACACTACATACTGATATACACCTGAACATCAGCAGGAGAGGACTCTTTAAAGTAGAGACACTACATACTGATATACACCTGAACATCAGCAGGAGGAGGACTCTTTAAAGTAGAGACAACTACATACTGATATACACCTGAACATCAGCAGGAGAGGAACTCTTTAAAGTAGAGACACTACATACTGATATACACCTGAACATCAGCAGGAGAGGACTCTTTAAAGTAGAGGACACTACATACTGATATACACCTGAACATCAGCAGAGAGGACTCTTTAAAGTAGAGACACTACATACTGATATACACCTGAACATCAGCAGGAGAGGACTCTTTAAAGTAGAGACACTACATACTGATATACACCTGAACATCAGCAGGAGAGGACTCTTTAAAGTAGAGACACTACATACTGATATACACCTGAACATCAGCAGGAGAGGACTCTTTAAAGTAGAGACACTACATACTGATATACACCTGAACATCAGCAGAGAGGACTCTTTAAAGTAGAGACACTACATACTGATATACACCTGAACATCAGCAGGAGAGGACTCTTTAAAGTAGAGACACTACATACTGATATACACCTGAACATCAGCAGGAGAGGACTCTTTAAAGTAGAGACACTACATACTGATATACACCTGAACATCAGCAGGAGAGGACTCTTTAAAGTAGAGACACTACATACTGATATACACCTGAACATCAGCAGGAGAGGACTCTTTAAAGTAGAGACACTACATACTGATATACACCTGAACATCAGCAGGAGAGGACTCTTTAAAGTAGAGACACTACTATACTGATATACACCTGAACTTCAGCAGGAGAGGAACTCTTTAAAGTAGAGACACTACATACTGATATACACCTGAACTATCAGCAGGAGAGGACTCTTTAAAGTAGAGACACTACATACTGATATACACCTGAACATCAGCAGGAGAGGACTCTTTAAAGTAGAGACACTAATACTGATATACACCTGAACATCAGCAGGAGAGGACTCTTTAAAGTAGAGACACTACATACTGATATACACCTGAACTTCAGCAGGAGAGGACTCTTTAAAGTAGAGACACTACATACTGATATACACCTGAACATCAGCAGGAGAGGACTCTTTAAAGTAGAGACACTACATACTGATATACACCTGAACATCAGCAGGAGAGGACTCTTTAAGTAGAGACACTACATACTGATATACACCTGAACATCAGCAGAGAGGACTCTTTAAAGTAGAGACACTACATACTGATATACACCTGAACATCAGCAGGAGAGGACTCTTTAAAGTAGAGACACTACATACTGATATACACCTGAATATCAGCAGGAGAGGACTCTTTAAAGTAGAGACACTACTACATACTGATATACACCTGAACATCAGCAGAGAGGACTCTTTAAAGTAGGGACACTACATACTGATATACACCTGAACATCAGCAGGAGAGCACTCTTTAAAGTAGAGACACTACATACTGATATACACCTGAACATCAGCAGGAGAGGACTCTTTAAAGTAGAGACACTACATACTGATATACACCTGAACATCAGCAGGAGAGGACTCTTTAAAGTAGAGACACTACATACTGATATACACCTGAACATCAGCTGGAGAGGACTCTTTAAAGTAGAGACACTACATACTGATATACACCTGAACATCAGCAGGAGAGGACTCTTTAAAGTAGAGACACTACATACTGATATACACCTGAACATCAGCAGGA